GCTACTATGAGAAAAAGCAGAGAGAGCAGAACGTTAGCAGTGGAGCTTAACAAATACTGCAGAATGTAACAATAAAGACGGAGGGTGATGATGAAAAGTGGTCCCTATGTCCTTCAGGATAACCAACTATTTTAGCTGAGGCAAAAAAGCCCTGTCAGTGTGCCTATGGGCAAAGCACTTAACCTCAAGCATTGATCCATAAATACATTGATGTTTGTAGGGTTAGGTTAACATGCTTCTGGTTCATCAGAATCAAAGCTCTTTGTATAACTTAATGACTTCCCTTCAATGTATTGTAAGCAGGTGGAATAGGAGACTTTGTCTAGACACAAAAGATCAGTTGTGCACCCAAAACAGTCAGCTGAGGTTGTTTGGACCTATGAGCATGATACCTCTCTAGCACCTCCCATTTGGAGGATAAATTGGGACTCTCAAGACACTATAGGATAGAACATTCTGGATCTACATCCACAGTGAACTAGAGAGTGCTACTAAGAAAGGGGTATCAAATGTTTAAAGTGTCTGTCAAAGATACAGTGAAATATTTGTGCTATTTGAGTTAGACACTGTATGAAAACATGAGTAAAAACTAAATAAAAATATAAAGTAATCCCCCCGCCCAAAAAAAAAAAAAAAAATCTGTTTTCATTTATTGTATAAAACTGTTAACTGAGCCAGCAAAGCAAAGTTGCAGGAGTCAACTGCTCAACAATTTAGAAATGAAAAGCCAAGTCCTATTTGGTTTTAGTCTTGAAAGGGCCAGGAGATCTAAGCTTAGAATAAAAGAGCAACCTGTTTCATCAAACGCTTTAAAAAATACTTGTCATTAAGAGCACTATATGTAAGGACCAGAGCTTTAAACCAAATTTTAAGGAGGTGTTCATCCACATGGATGAGCATTTGGCGAGAGCAGATATTTGCATGCATGCAGCAATAAGTGAAGAGAAAATGCTCCATTTTAGAGGAAGAAGCATCAAGCAGGAGCAGTCTCAGTATGAGCAGGGGTCTGCTAAGACCAACAGAGGATTCAAGGAGACCGATCAGACATACAAGAGGAGCATAGAAGCCCTGGTCCATAAATACTTTCTATGTTAGAAAAGGTGGGGTTAAACTTGGCACTTAGTTGTCAAATGACATGCAGTCAATTTAACTTCAGTTCCAGAAGCCCAGCTCCATCTTTCAGGGAAAGCTAAAGCTTTGTCATAGAGAAACACGAAACCACATAACTCAACACAACCCATCCAGAGCCCGACCAAGTCACGTCTGGTCCCTGAGCTGTGGCCACCTCTAAACCAACATAATAACGATTGTTGAATATGCATTGTGTCGTTGCAGCAATGTCACAAACAGAGGGAACATTCAAGGACAGGAAGAAAACCCTTAGCAGAACCAGGCTTTGGAGAGTGTCCTTCCACTGCAACTGGCTGGGGATTTGAGAGGACAGAGGTAGACACACAAAAGGAACATACAGGCAATTTCTCTAATTTCAGGCTAATGTTAAACTATCTCAGTGTGAACCTGCGTTTCCTGCAGTCGGCTGGGTTCTCCATCAGTCTAAGCCTATAGCAGCATAACTATAGAGACAGCTCAGGATAACCTGAGCCACTCATGTAAATGACAAATATTGATCAAAGATGACACCAAGATCCTTTGAATTATTTTATTTATATATAGCTGATATGGAGATATAACTGATGTTGGGCCATATGCCATGATCATGGTTTTTGGACATTGGGAACCAGTGTCCATATTTCATCTTGACATGATGACCAGAGAAAAGGACGCAGCTTTGGTGAATAACAGCTGGGGGACCTCTGCGACCCCCCCTTTTCAGCCAAAGCAGTCACAGGCAAGTCACAGAGGTGTGACCAACCAACCCCCTCTGTGTGAGGACAGAACAAAATCACAGAGAAATCAGATAACTTGCTTCGGCAGGATCTCCAGCAAGAAAGGAGCAAGAAAAAGACCCAGATCTCCAGAACCATCAAGGATAGGTCAGAACAGACCTTTTGCAACACATTTCTCTTGAGTTTCAGAACCTATAGAGCCAGACTGGATGAC